GAGCGTCGTAGCTTAAAACAACAAGTGTTTATTCTCTCTCACAGTTCTTCAGGGACAGAATATGGGAGCAGCTTAGCTGATGGTTCTGGCCCAGGGTCTTTTTTCATATATAAATTGCAGTTAAGCTATTGGCTGGGCCTATAGTCATCTCAAGGCTTACCTAAGGCTGGAGAATTTGCTTCTAAGCTCACACATGCAGTTGTTGGCAGGCATCAGCTCCTCACTGGCTGTTTGCCAGAGACCTCAGTTCCTCACCAAATGGGCTTTTCTATGGAGTTCCCTGAATGTCCTCATGTCATAGCAGCTTCTCTCAGAGCGAATAATCCAAGAGAGAGAAAGAAAGCAAGCGGAAGAAGAGGTCTGAGATGGAAACTGCATATTTTTATAACCTAATCTTGAAGTGACATGCTATTGGTCACACAGACCAACACTGGTGAGAGAGAACTACATAAAGTTATGAATACCAGGAGACAGGGTTCACTGGTGATGACCTTGCAGGCTAATTCCTAAGAATAGCAATGATATATTTCAGAGTGAAGAACTAATTTTCATACCTATTATCTGAATTTGCATTTAGATACAATGTATTTCTTTTATAAAATGATGGATAATGTTTGTATACTTATTCGGCCATGTTCTTCGGAGAAGGGATTTTTGTTTTATTTACATTGAATTTAAGAGATGACCTGGACAAGTTTGTGATTAGCATCATTCTTTGATTTTCTTTTAATTCTTTTAGTATCATTTGACGACTTACTAATGCAAGGCCTAAAGAATTACCTTCATAAAATCTTTGAAAGGCGATGTTTAGCTAAATTTACTTATCAGTTATTTACTTGATGGTAAGATTTTATTTTTTCTCCAGATAGCTTATCCTATTTAGTAGAGAAGATCCCTCTAATATTAAATAACAGGAAGCGTCGTAGCTTAAAACAACAAGTGTTTATTCTCTCTCACAGTTCTTCAGGGACAGAATATGGGAGCAGCTTAGCTGATGGTTCTGGCCCAGGGTCTTTTTTCATATATAAATTGCAGTTAAGCTATTGGCTGGGCCTATAGTCATCTCAAGGCTTACCTAAGGCTGGAGAATTTGCTTCTAAGCTCACACATGCAGTTGTTGGCAGGCATCAGCTCCTCACTGGCTGTTTGCCAGAGACCTCAGTTCCTCACCAAATGGGCTTTTCTATGGAGTTCCCTGAATGTCCTCATGTCATAGCAGCTTCTCTCAGAGCGAATAATCCAAGAGAGAGAAAGAAAGCAAGCGGAAGAAGAGGTCTGAGATGGAAACTGCATATTTTTATAACCTAATCTTGAAGTGACATGCTATTGGTCACACAGACCAACACTGGTGAGAGAGAACTACATAAAGTTATGAATACCAGGAGACAGGGTTCACTGGTGATGACCTTGCAGGCTAATTCCTAAGAATAGCAATGATATATTTCAGAGTGAAGAACTAATTTTCATACCTATTATCTGAATTTGCATTTAGATACAATGTATTTCTTTTATAAAATGATGGATAATGTTTGTATACTTATTCGGCCATGTTCTTCGGAGAAGGGATTTTTGTTTTATTTACATTGAATTTAAGAGATGACCTGGACAAGTTTGTGATTAGCATCATTCTTTGATTTTCTTTTAATTCTTTTAGTATCATTTGACGACTTACTAATGCAAGGCCTAAAGAATTACCTTCATAAAATCTTTGAAAGGCGATGTTTAGCTAAATTTACTTATCAGTTATTTACTTGATGGTAAGATTTTATTTTTTCTCCAGATAGCTTATCCTATTTAGTAGAGAAGATCCCTCTAATATTAAATAACAGGAAAAGGGCTTCCCTGGTGGTGCAGTGGTTGAGAGTCCGCCTGCCAATGCAGGGGACATGGGTTCGTGCCCCGGTCCGGGAAGATCCCACATGCTGTGGAGCAGCTGGGCCTGTGAGCCATGGCTGCTGAGCCTGCGTGTCCGGAGCCTGTGCTTCGCAACGGGAGAGGCCACAACAGTGAGAGGCCCACGTACCACAAAAAAAATAAATAAATAACAGGGAAGGAGTAGCAACTTACTTTTGTATAATGGTTTGGATTTGTAAAACATGTTTTTCCCTAACGTATGGGAACAGATAGAGTTTTAGAGTTGATGCTTACCTAGTAAGAAGGAATTTTTTAATGTGTTCTTAATCTTTTGGAGGATTCATAGACTCCTTTGAGAATGATGCGGGTAATGGTCTCTTCAGAGAAATGCACACAAAGGCAATTTCACAATTTGGAGGGACCCTCAGGAGGTCCATGGATTTTAGATTGAGAACTCCTCCTTTGAAAGCACAGATAAACTTCTGGTGGCTTCTGAAAGGAAGGAGTGCTTTTTGATTTTCAAAATACAAAGGGATACAATGTCCCTAACTCTAATTGGAAATGTGTGTTTGTTTTCATTTTATGTGGCTTCTAATTCATGTATCCTAATGATGGTTTTTGTTTCTGAATTTTGCTTGTTCTATAGCATCTGGAGCATAAGAACGGTGCTTATTTTCTTCTTTTCCAAGAGAACAGAAAGAAATAGTAAGTTTAATTTTGAAGTTTTTATAAATACATTAAAAAACCCATCTTATGATGCATTAGTTTGTAATTGAATAACAGGTTGTGAAATGGTATATTGAAATGACAACATGGTAAATATTGAAGAGCTGTTTACTGTAAAGTATAAGAAAGGTTATGAATGATCAAACTGGTTCTGTTTTTCAGTTGTGTTATTTCTGTCTTGTCCATTTAGAATTTTTTTTACACAATACACAAAACAATTCATTTCTTTAAATGAAGAGAAATTATATTAAATTATCTTTATAGAAAACATGTTATTATGGAGTAAAATATAGTTAAACATCTTTTGATTTATTCTATTAATTACATCATTCTCTTCAGGCTCACAGCCCCTAGGCTTTTGTTTTTATTGAAGTATGTAAATTATGACAATTTTCCTGTATTCTATATATGGGCAGATTTTAAAGACATTCAGGTCTTAAAACTATGAGTTATAATTAACCCAAGATATGCAAATTTCATTCTAAATGAACTTTACATGTGATTTTTTTTCTTGTTTTAACTTTTCATTATAGAATATTTCAAGCATATACAAAAGTAGACTGAATAGTAATAATGAACACTCATATTACCTGTCACACAACCTAAACAATCATCCACTCCTGGTCAATCTTATTTCATTTTTACCCCCACCCACTTTTCCATCTCTGTTATTTTGAAGTATATCCCAGATATATCTATCCATAATGTACTTAAAAAATGTGTAAACAATGTACATTATTATACTTAAAAAATAATTCTTAAAATTATAAAATATTAAATATAAAAATAATAAATTTCCAGTTATCTTACAAATGTCATTTGCTATAAAAAATATTTTGTTTGTTTGACTCAGGATCCAAGCAAGTTTCACACAGATACGTGACTTTCAAACTGCCCTCCTCATGTATAACTTATCTTTGACCCAGTTAAGGTTCTGTGATCTAGACCAATGGCCATCCCTTTTAGACACCCTTGACTCCTTTGCCTCTCTTTCCCATTCTGCTTGTCTGGCAAACCATACCTTGTTTAAATACAGTTATATGCTTAATCTGTGACTGGCAAAACCATATCCTGGTTAAAAACATTTATGTGCTTAGTCTATATCTGCATCAGGAAAGCTAAATTTGTTAGAGGAAAATCATACAACATGCTGACTAGACTCACTTTAAATCTATGATTGCAAATACCAAATTTACACTCAACACTGCTACACAACCCTATTATAGTTCCCTAGTAAATTTACTTTTTTCTCTTTGAGAGTATTATTTGACACTGTATTTCTCCTCAAGTCACTAATACCCACCACCATACCAAAACCCCAAAACCAAACCAAACCAAAATAAAACCAACCAACCAACCAAATAAAAATTCAGAAGCCACAAATAAACAAAACTTCACAAAATCTACCTGGCCACTCTGACCTGATAGTCTCACTTCATGAAGAAAATAGATGTAAACAGGTGAGCGCTATCTCCACCACGAAAAACATAGAGTTAGCCCCATCTGTTACTCAGTATGCTGTCATCCATCATGGTAATTTGGAAGACCGACCTTGATCCCATCTCTGGCTAAGCCTTTCATTTATGCTCTGGATTCTAGATACTCTGACCATCTCATGAACTTTGCTCTTATAGTTATCCCTACCTGCATCTCTTTTGCATTATCTATTTGTATTGGCTTGTCCCTATTTGGCATATAATCCTGTCTCAATACAATCATCTGGGGGAAAAATCCCATCCTGACTCCATATTCCCTTTAATTTACAATGCATTTCTCCCTCCCCTTCAGAGTTCTCTCATTTTTACCTCCAAAATTATCTTGAATATGACCACTTATAACTTTCTTTACTACTACTACAATTCTAATTCAGGTCATCATCATCTGTTGCTGGCACTATTGCAGTGGTTTCCTAACTAGTCTATTTTTAAGGTATAAATCAGATCTCTCCTACTTAAATTCTTCTAGTGGCTTCCCATTGCAACCAGAGTAAAATCTGACCTTAACCCCAACTTTCTGGCTTATGTCTATTTCTCTAACTTCATCTCTTTCCACTCTCCTTTTTTCACCTTTGCTCCAGCCACACTAGCCATCTTTTTGTCCTACAAATAAGGTTAAGTCCTCTGAACCTCAGTTTGCTAGTTTATAAACTAGAAACAAATGTTTGTTTTGGCAAGACTGTTATGGGTTTTAACTGATAATATTATGTGTGAAAGCATATAAAAATTGTAAAGTGTTACATACATGTGGGCTGATGGTACTGATTTTTCTTTTCCAATTCCTATTATTTTTTATTTTTCTTGCCTTTAAAATTTTACTTGCCTTGTTTAATGGGTTAGGACCCAGTATAATCGTGAGTTGAAGTGGGAATAGCAGATATCTTTGTCTAGCACCTGATTTTGGTGCAAAAGCTTTTAATTTTTACCATTAAGTATGATGTTTGCTGTGGTTTTAAAAAATATTGATACTTTTAATCGGATTAGAGAAATTAAGCTTATGGCATTGTTTCCGGTGATATTTAGTAATATAGTAGATGCCGGGAAGACAGGAAGAAGTTTAAAACAAATATGATCTTGGACCTCATGGAACTAACCAAATAGTGAAAAATATAAGAAAATTTACTTTAAAAGAGCCCTTGGAAACACTTCTCTAAGGAAAATATGTGAATATTTTGACTTGCAAGTAGGCACATTAGGACATGCTTATTATATAAAGGAGTTTTTTTGCTTTAAATTTTTATTTTACGGATCCTTTCATTTAAAAAAATTGTACGAATTCATTTGCGTAGGTATTGCATGTAGATAAAATAGACTTCATAAGAGATTGTCTTGCAGTTTTACACTTCTTTTTAGCATAAAGTTAGGTACCATATGTATTTATATATATATGTGTGTGTGTGTGTGTGTGTGTGTGTGTGTGTGTGTATGTATATATATATTTTTTTAAGTCTGAAGCTACTGATCATGTCTTGCTTTTTGTTCTCTGTTAGTTGTATTTCCTTTGTTTTACAAGTTGGACCTAGTATAGATTCAAGTAAGGATTGGCAAACTACAGCATGTGAGCCAAGTCCTGCCCACCACCTTGTACATCTCATGAGCTAACAATGGTTTTTACATTTTTAAATTATTGAAAAAATTCAAAGAGTAGTATTTTGTGACATGTTAAATTTGAATGAAGTTCAAATTTCTGTTTTATTGGAACACAGCCACGTCCATTCAATTTTATATGTTATCTGTAGCTGCTTTCATTCAATGATGGCAGAATTGAGTAGTTGTGACAGACTGTATGGTGCTCTCAATATTTCAGCCTATTGTAGGATGCACAACAAATCACAGTGACACTGTTATAACTTGACAGCATTTCACGTGCCATGTATATTGCTGTATTGCGACTATTTTATTTATTATTACCAGTGTACACTCATTATGTAAAAACAAGAAGAGAAAATTGGACTTTGAATGTTGCACTTTTTTTTTTTTTTTGCGGTACACGGGCCTCTCACTGTTGTGGCCTCTCCCGCTGTGGAGCACAGGCTCCAGACGCACAGGCTCAGCGGCCATGGCTCACGGGCCCAGCCGCTCTGCGGCATTTGGGATCCTCCCGGACCAGGGCACGAACCCCTGTCCCCTGCATTGGCAGGCGGACTCCCAACCACTGCACCACCAGGGAAGCCCCTAGAAAATTTTAAATGGAATATCTCATCATAGCAGAATTTCTTCATAAAAATAAAAAGTGAAAATGGAACTTCAAAATAAGTTTCTGAGTGGCTTATTTGTGAAGCAAAGAAAGCTATTTACCAATGGTGAGTTAATTAAATTGTGTAATTGCAGCAGCTGAAAAAATGTGTTTAGAGAAAATACTTGCTTGGCTAGTAGCCTTTTTAGCAAGAACAATTGCTTGAAGAATTAAGAACACTGGAAGCAACATAATTAACTTAAAAACAAGATTATTTAAAAAAAATTATTTCAAGTGATTGTCATTGGCTTTTTTTTTTTGTTTTTTGGCCATGCTGCGAGGCTTGCAGGATCTTAGTTCCCTGACCAGGGCTTGAACACGGGCCACCACAGTGAAAGTGCCAAGTCCTAACCACTGGAGTGCCAGGGAATTCCCTGTCATTGACTCTTGATGAGTTGACAGATGTTACTGATACAGCTCAATTGTAATTTATTTCAGGAGTCAGTACTGAACTTGAAATGACTAAAGAATTAGCCTCTGTGAACAGTCTGTGTAGAACACTCTGGGAGAGAATATTTTTAAAGAAGTTGAAAAAACACTAATTTAGTACAACCTGAAGTGGAATCTACTGAGATGTATTTACAACTATTGGTGGTAAAAATATGTGTGAAGCAGGAAAAGGCTTAGTGGATTAATTTACAAAGCTCATGAAACTGTAAGGTGTTTAAATTCTGTGGTTATCCACTGTGTTATTCAACAGCAGTGGACTTAATCATCATCAATTATGTGAACTTTTATCAGAAATGCAAGCAGTTGGATGGATTAGTAGTAGTAGTAAACTTTTATTGTGATGTTTTGAGCTCAGAGCCAAGACTAAAATGTTTCTGAATGAGAAGAACCACCTTCAACCATTATAAATGAACTGGCTTTGGAAATTAGATTTTGCTGCAGACTTGATAATGGTTCTTAATGAATTCAACCTAAGAGTACGAGACAAAACAGTCCTTATATGTGAAACCTATACTGCTATAAAGTGATTTAGAAAAGCAAATAACAATTTGCTTTTGATGACGAAAGGTAATTTTTTAAAAAGTGTTATGAGAAGTTAAGAAACAAGATCTCCATTCCCACCCCAATTTGCAGCAGATACATTATCTGAGCTCAAACTGCGATTCCAGCAGTGTTTTTCAGACGTCATGCAAGTATAAAGGAAATTTCCGTATTTCAAAATCCATTTAACTGGAAGTGATTAATTTGCAATGACATGATAAAAGGCAGATATCAAGAGAAGAATCTAAAGAATTTTATAAATGCCTTTCACACAGTGAATATGCTCAATTAAAATCATGTGATTGTGGATTGATTTCAATATTTAGCAGCACCTATCTGTGTGAAAAAAATTTTTCAAAAATAAAATGTGTGAAATCTCATTACAGATAAACTAACAGATTGACATTTGTGATCAATTTTGAGGATGGGGGACACTAATTTTGAATCTCAATTAAGTGAAATATTATCCCCCACCTACCCCTCCAGATTCCATTCTTTTCATTGGTAGACCTATGTTACAAAAAATTGAACTCAATTATTATTATATTTGAATTATGTCAATGAAAGTTTTGTGGAAATTTGTTTACTCCTTTAAAAGTGCTCACCTAATTTTGCCTTTTGGCCCATAAAACCTAAACTATTTACTGTCTGACCCTTTATAGAAAAAGTTTGCTGATCTCTGCATTAAAGTTTAGATATTTGGCTTGGTCTTATCTAACCAAAGATGACTATTCTCTTTAAAGAGGTCAGCAGTTTTTTTCCCCTTTCAGTAATAAGTCTGCTAGAGCACTTTGAAAAAAATATATAGTAAAATAATCTTTTCATAAGTTTGCATTTCTTTGGATTTTTACGTAAATAGTATTATTTGAATTGGGTATTCAGATGGTTGCTACTCCAGAACTTCAATGAAAAGATAATTTTATTTGTAAATTTAATTAAACATTAAGAACAATTATTTGAATTCTATTTGGTAAAATGTTTAAATCATGTTATAAGTCTTCTTTCCATCTGGAATAGTATTCTTATTTATACTAGTTCAGTATTTCTAGAGAAAAACTAGAAATCTAAAATAAATTTGTAAAGCAGATATTGACATTCATAAATTATATCCTTTGAAATGATTCTTTATGTTCCACCAATGCAACCTAACTAAACAGACAAATCTTGGAAAAGTTTAATTTTGAAAAGTAATTAGTATCCTCTTCCTTTCCAAGTCCCTCTTCAGGTATATAATACTATAGATTTTCAAAGGTTTCTTTATTAGTGCTCAATATCTTAAAGATCAAATAACTTAATAAAATATGTACTTCTTTCTTCATAAATAAAGAGAACATTTTTATTACCAATGTATAAAAAATAATTGGTTTTAATTTTGTAAATTAATATGGGTGGGATGTTGAAGGAGAAATAATAAAAAGTTATATTTCTGAAAACATTTAAAAAATATGTATCTTTTAAAATTTGGAAATGTGTTTTATTCTATGTAAAGTCCATTTTTCCCCTCCTGAGCTTGTAATATCTAGTATAAGCAAACATATAAAATATATATGGGTAAAAATTGAGATGACTTCTGTCTGTACACATCTGTGAGAAATTCTAAAATGAGACTGTTTTCTTGCAGTTGCTTAATGTATATCATTTGACATGATTTTTTTTCTTGTATCTTAAGTATCTTAATATCTGATTTAGTTTTGGTTTAAATCTTGTTTTCTAGATGAAGCATTGGATGATTTAAAATCCCAGAAGAAAAAAATAGTAAGTTAATTTTATTTAAGTTAATTTATATAAAACTAATAAATTAAGAACTGAATAATTAATATTTATATGTTGTAAGTAATGACTATCCAAGGAACAAGTATGTCTTTAGATAACAGTTTAATGGTGAAGCTAAGTTATGAATATTTTTGCTAGTTAATAATGATCGACAGGAAAAAGTAGTTAGATGAACTTTTGAGAGTCTGAGTGTCTATGTCAGTTGGAAGCTGAGAAGTAAGTAAATGAATCATTTTGGAGGACTAAATGAGGCAGAGTGGTAAAAAGGTGGATATCCAGATTTATTATTAGGGCCAAAAAAAGACCAAACATCATATGTCAGTTCTCAGATTTTCTTGACATAATAAGGCGAGGAGAGAGGGAATCAAGAAGATTGGTTGTAAAAAACAAATTTAACATGCAAAAAAAAAAAAAAAAAAGGCCAAAGAAAACTGGGGAGAGAGAAAGAGAGTATTTTTTCTTTGGTTTCTTTCATTTTCTATCAGCAGTTCTGATCACATGGGTGTCTGTTGTGGGGTCAGTTAAATGCATCCTTCAGATGGGTTGGAAAGAGGAGGATCAAGAGAGAGGAAGGACTCTAGATGTTTAGAGGTTGATATGTAAGTTTTTTTTGTCTTTTTTGTTTTTTGCGGTACGTGGGCCTCTCACTGTTGTGGCCTCTCCTGTTGCGGAGCACAGGCTCCGGACGGGCAGGCTCAGCGGCCATGGCTCACGGGCCCAGCCGCTCCACGGCATGTGGGATCTTCCAGGACCGGGGCACAAACCCGTGTCCCCAGCATCGGCAGACAGACTCCCAACCACTGCGCCACCAGGGAAGCCCTGTAATAGTTTTTAATAAGTGGGTTGAACTTGGTGTTTGGCTTGAATTTACATATATTTTTTTCATATAATTATTTTTGAAGTATAAAAATGATAATTGATAGGAGTATCATGTTATATGGAAACTTAATGAAATTTAATCAGATGCAAAATCAATTTAATGTATTTTAGTCTAACATAATGAGTAACAATTATGGATGAAACTAATAAAAATTATGAAGGTTAAGATTAATGTTAAAAATTGTTCTGTGAATTGGTAAGAAAAGACACTGGTCCTGAGGGATTTAAGTACCTGAAAAATAAAGAAACCTTAATTCTGAAAGGATTCCTTATCTTTTTTATTTGATGCCTCTTCAGTATTCTGTGAGGTATTTATCAGAATTGCCTTGAGGGCTTCCCTGGTGGCGCAGTGGTTGAGAGTCTGCCTGCCAATGCAGGGGACACGGGTTTGTGCCCCGGTCCAGGAAGATCCCACATGTCGTGGAGCGGCTAGGCCTGTGAGCCATGGCCGCTGGGCCTGCGCGTCTGGAGCCTGTGCTCCGCAACGGGAGAGGCCACAACAGTGAGAGGCCCGCGTAACCACAAAAAAAAAAAAAAAATTGCATTGGTATTTTTGGTGGTCCTAAATTGAAACGTAGAAATGTTTCTATTGTATCTTATTATATTTCTGGCATTCTACACATTATGGAACAGCCAGAAATTCAAAGTGAGGAAATACTGAAGGTTCTCAATAATATAGAAGTTGTGATATGATTAGTTTGGTTTGCTGATGTGATAAAAAAAGAAGAGCTGGTAGCCAAGCCTTACTTGTTGTACCAAAATGGAGAAATATTGATTAAAGTAGAAAAGACAAGGAGGAAGACAAAAGAAAAAAGAGAGAAAATAAAAGAAGAAAATTAAAAAATTCTAAGTGATGAGAAGCTGATTCAATGTCAATGGCATCACATGAACAGAAAACAGAATCTTAGAGAACATATAATTGGTGAAGAGCTCTCAGTAGAGTAACGGAGCAGACTTAGAAAATTCTTTGACAGGACAAACCAAGCTATTTACTTCTTTAATAGCCCTTGATGGAATCACAACATAAACGCTGCTCCATCTAGGTCTGACAGTTGGGAAACTCAGTTCAAGGTTCAGTAGTTTTGTATATCTAAATGGTTCATGAGACATCAATATTACAGAATACTTCAGTATGGCATTTCTCTTGCAGTGTATAATTAAAGAAAATTAAGTTGGCTGCTTTAACTCATTTTGTTAATTAGGGAACACAATTTGCTTTGACTTGATTGTTTCTGGTTTCAGTACTGTTGCTGTTGGGAACTCGTCCCTTGCCTTTATTGCTCAAGCCCTTAACAGAGCTGCTTTGTTTGAGTTATACTTTGTTTAGAACAATAGGTGTTAAGGGTGAATTTGTAAGGAGTACAATGCTAGCTAATGATTGTACTGGTAATGAGAGGAAAAAGAAGGGACATTACTTTTGAGCAAAAGCAAAATGTAATCAAAACTGATTTTGTTCTTTGATGTTTAACTCTGTATTTATAGCTTTAAAAATGCCAGCAGGAAGAATAGCCATTAGTTTAAAAGTACCCAACTCCTAACCCTTCTCTTTCACTAAAAAATGAATGTAAATTGTATTTACTACTTGAGGTGTTATTAAAGGTGGTTTACTCAGGGATGCCTCTCTTTAATCTGGATAGACTTGTAATGTAATGTGTAATTTGTCAAAGTGTAATTTGTAACAATAAACATGAATTATCAATTAATTAAAAAGTTAAATTACTTAGAAAGGAAAATGAGTGATAACAATGTTTTAAAACAGTGTTTTAAAACAATGTTTTAAATCTAAGAACTTAATGTAAGTATTTACTTACTAAAGTAAAGCTAGGAATTAATCTTTAGTTACCTAAAAAACCTCCCAAGTCTGGTTGTGTACATTTTGCCACTCACATTTTTTTTTAAACTTTTAGTTTAAAACATGTCACTATTCAATAGATAATCGCTTTGTATCCATGAGCATCCCATCAAAACAGTTCAAAATCAAAATCCATCAAAACTCGAGTCAAAATGACCTCTTTAAGTGGCTTCATGAAAATGCTGTGCTTTTTTCAGAATAGTACAGGTGTTTCTATGTGGTAATTCTTTTCTGTCATTTCTCAGGCAATTTATATTTTTCCAAGTCCTGAGGAAAATCGGTTGAGAAATTGGGAACCTGGGAAAGAATTATTATAATTCTCTGAGAATTAAAACTTAACAATCACTACAAATGTTACTGGTTCAAAAGAATCCACTAGTGTCAGTTGAAAGCAAGAGCAAGAAATGCTGACATGCTGAGCTGTAGGTTAATGTGGACATTTTAGGCAACAGGACAGGAGCACATAGAGGAGAAGTGGCACAATCTAATTAGTCAGTCTTGCTTTTGTGGCCATAAGTCTGTTTTATGGGCCCTGTCTCTTATTAATGGTGACTTATTCTTACAAATAAATGTTAATAAGTTTATATATATAGAATACTGTATACAAAATCCTGTGAGTGATATTCCATGAAATAAATTTTGGAAGCAAAGTAAGTCCTTGAATTGGCAATTTTAGCATGTGATTCTGTGTGGGGCTGTTAACCTCACTAGAAGTTTCATGTTACATTTTTATATTACCCAGTAATATCTGCTGGTGTTTTCCAGTGTTTGAATATTCACTGTAGGCTACAGATCTTTGTAAATACTTTAACAGAAGAAATGCTGAGAGAGATGTTACTGTTATTGTAGAATACTCCTATATAAAATCAGAAAATGATTTAAAATCTGAATTAGTAAAACAATATTGATTTCAACAGCAAAACAAAATCAGGATAAGCAGAGAGTATTTTCATCATTTTAAAAATATGAGTTTAAATAATGCAACATGTACCCTAAAGCTGTGAATTGAAGATTCTTATAATAATTTGACCAAAGTCAGTATAAAACAGAAGACATTTTTCTACATCTGGAATATTTGTTATGAAACAAGGATCAAGAGTATTGGATAGGGCAGTTAATGCTTTGTGTGTTTTAAAATTTTATTTCAAGAGTTATAATTTCAATATTGTATAATTATCTTTCAAAATTAAAAAAATTGATGTTTATTTTGTGTTAGTGTTCCCTTCTTTTAGTATTATTCTCTATGATGAAATTCTATATCAGGTAGAAATAATTTTTATATGTTCTCAAAATATATAATCTTGCCAAAATAATGTTAATTCATAATAAATAAGCAACCATATGTTTATTATTATTTTTTATTTTTATTTAATTTTAATTAATTTATTTTTAAAATTTTGGCTGTGTTGGGTGTTTGTTGCTGCACGCTAGCTTTCTCTAGTTGCGGTGAGCAGGGGCTACTCTCGTGGTGCGCGGGCTTCTCATTGCGGTGGCTTCTCTTGTTGCAGAGCACGGGCTCTAGGTGCGCGGGCTTCAGTTGTTGCAGCATGCGGGCTCAGTAGTTATGGTGCACGGGCTTAGTTGCTCTGTGGCATGTGGGATCCTCCCGGACCAGGGCTCAAACCTGTGTCCCCTGCATTGGCAGGCGGGTTCTTAACCACTGCCCCACTAGGGAAGTCCCTATTATTCTCTTTTTTAAATAAAAAACTTTTAAACTTTTAGTATACTCATGTCACAGAAAAACAATTCACTCTTTGTTACACCATTCATTATTATTTGAAATATGTAAAATATTAGGAAGAATACAGAGTAATTTGTAATTTAGGGAATTCTGAGAATTCAATTTCTCATTCCTGAATCCTGATATTAATACGGTGGGTATTTGAAAACACTGCTTGTTTCAGATCCACTCTGAATAACTGAGGTGTCATTGAAGATTATGCGTTTTTGTGTTAGGTACTGTTATAGACTCTCCTACATTATTTAAATTGCATGACAATGCTACAAGAAAGTGTTAATGTTTCTGCTCTATAAAAGGAGAAACTGAGGCTAACAGACTTGCTTAGTCTTTCTACAGCTAATTAACAATGGAGATGTACTTTGAACCCAGATCTTTTCTGATGTCATGGTTTCAAGTTTGTATTCTTCCCACTGATCAGATGTCTCCCTATTTATAAAACAAATTATTCACTTAAAATGTAGTAGGAATACATGTGTTAATTAAGCTATTACGTGAAAAAAGAATTTTTCAAAGTAAATGCAAAAGAAAAAGAGAATGGATTTGTATCTTTTGCTTTTTAAAATGTTTTTATTTAAGATAATTTACATGTACATAGACATAAACATGAATACTTGCTGAATGATGTACTAGGAATGGCAATCATTTAATAAAATGGCATTTCAGTTTTGACTTTTGTGTATTGTTTTAAAGATCACAGTTGTATCTAATCTTCTTTTTAAACCTACCAATAGTCTTATTCTAGAATTGTGCTGTCCAAATCAGTAGCCACTAGACCCATGTAGCTTTTAAAGTTTACATTATTTAAAGTGGAATAAAAGTAGCTACAGTTGGGTTCCTCAGTTGCACAAGCAATATTTTAAGTGATCATTTATCACATGGCATTGTAGCTACTCTATTGTGCAGATATAAACCACTTCCATCATTACATGTAGTTCTATTGTTACAGCACTGGTCTGGACCATCAAAAATTAATTTGTAGAGATCAGGGATTCAGTTCTTTGCTGTTTCATGTAGATTATGTTGATTTGGGGATAGATTCTATCATGCCCTCTCTCTGTCCACATCCCAAGTTTTTCCCCAACCCTAAAGTAGTAATGTTACAAACATTTTCTTTACATCAGAAATTTAAACTTGCTTGTTTGAGAATTTATCATAATTTTGAAATATTAGAAAAATATTTTAGTTTCACTAAACCAAGGTTAGTAAATCATTCATCTAAGCACTTCTTAAGTGTTATATTGCGATTTTAATGAGGAATCTATTAACTATTGTGGCAGCATATTTTAAATTGTATTTTAATTTGGTAAGTGGTCTCTGCTTCGCATTTTACAATAAATGTCCTTTGGAATAAACATGACATTTAATGAATCTAAGTGGCTCTCAGTGGTCACTGAGAAGGAAAAGGTCCTCTTCCAAGTTTTGCAAAAGCATTTTTATTCTATATATTAGCTATTTGTCATAACTATGACTGTCTTGTACTAAAGTTAAACTTTTTCTGATATTGGGATGTAACTGCTAAAATGATACTTTACTAGTGATTACTTTTTAAATTAAACCCACATGTTAAGCCATAAAGTGACTTGAGTGCATTGTAAATAAAATTCTATAATAATGAAGTGCTTTAATTACAGTCCCTAGTGTGAGCATAGAACTCAGTAAAAACTTTACTTAAATTCTTATTATGTTCAGTTTTTCCCTCTAAAGTTGTTTGAATCTAAGTAAAAAATGGGGAGCTTCAGCTTTTAAAGTCATTTGAGCAAATTCCATGAGAGAGCATGGTTGTTCTCCCAGTTAAGTGAGTTTTCACTGCATTTTTCAGCAAGCTAATTGCTTCTGCTAATAAATAATCTAAAATCGATGCTGACAGCAGTTAATTGGCACAGAGATTTTATTTTGTAAAGCTCTTGGCTAACGACCTTCTTTAAATTAATAGCATTAAGTGCTAGGAGGAAATAAATCTGAGGAATTGCCTGTCATTTGCTTGTCATGTCTAATAACTTCCAATAATGATGGCTGATAGATTTTTGCACATTCCATTATTGAAGTCGGTGCATGTAATTATTCTCCTCATTATATGTAAACAATTAGCAATATTTGGTATTTCCTTGCAGTAAAGCTGTTAAATACAAGTAACATATTAGAGGTTAGAAGCCATTTTAAAATCTGGATTTTAATTATTTGAATGTGGAAGTCTTTCATGCTATCTGGATATATTATGTGCTGTTTATTTTAAGCCTTGCAGTTGAATACTTTTTGAATAGGACTTATAAAAGTAAGTAGTGTATGTGTGTTTTAAAATGTGACAACTTGTGGAAATTTTTGTTTGCAGCTTGAAGAAGTCATGGAAAAAGAAACTTATAAAACAGCTAAATTAATTCTTGAAAGGTTTGATCCAGACTCAAAGAAAGCAAAGGTAAGGCTGTAATATCACTACTATTTTATTTTAAATCACACATTGTAGTAGGTCTCTGTAATAACATTATTGTATTTGACAGGAGTTGGAGCCGCCATCTGCTGGAGCAACTATAACTGCAAGACCTGGACAAGGTAAATAACTTTGTAGAAACTCCTGCTGCTGTTGGAAAGATCCATATTTACCCAAGTGAGTTCAAAAGTGTGATAGCGGTGTGAAAAACTTATGTAGGTTGCTTTTATGTTAATTTGTATTTGGTAATTTAGGATATGACTTAAAATAGATGGCAATAAGTTTATTTCATTTTGATTTTATAGAAATATGTTGATGAGTAAAGATGTTATTATCTTTTGAGATTAAACATATAATTAGTTTTAATCTTTTGAAATTTAAGTGATCTCACCAATATTTTGTAAGGTTTATTTTCCCCCCTTTAAATAAGAGTCTCCTGGAATATCTGCTATTATGAAAATTCTTACATTTTTATGATTTATTTTTTGAGGAATTTAATGAAGATTTTTGTCAAACTTGAGTTCCTTCCAAAGTAACACTGTTAGAAAGGAAAAAAATGTAATTTAGAAATGAGAAAAAAAATTGAATTACTGCTATATAATAACATTAACTCTTTCTTTTTGAGGTTATATTGCCAGATTACTAGTGAAACCATTACTATTATGTTATTATTTTAAGTGGTTACATAAAGTATTCCCAAGACTGGCATGTGAAAAGATATTTTTGAGTTTGCATTGGCTTCCTTTTTTGTTCTCTTCTCTAGAGTATAATAAAATAACAGGCATTGCAGGTTTGGTTCCAGACCACCCCAATAAAGTGAATATCACAATAAAGTGAGTCACACACACTTTTTGGTTTCCCAGTGTGTATTAAAGTTATGTTTACACTGTACTGTAGTCTATTAATGTGTAATAGCATTATGTCTAAAAAAATGTACATACGTTAATTAAAAAATACTTTATTGCTAAAAAATGCTAACCATCATCTGACAATGCAGGGTTACCATAAACCTTCAATTTGTAAAATTCATTTTGTGAAAAAACTCAGTATTCCCAAAGTACAGTAAAATGAAGCAAATAAAATGAGGTATGCCTGTAGTTTGTAAGGCTTTTGTTGCTATATGGAATATACTTACAAAAATGTAACTTCTACTCTTATAAATCATCGGAATTGGAGCCTGGTTTATAAAGTTAGGGTGACATTTAGAACTTCGAGAAGTCAGTTCTTTTATAAATATCCACAAAGACCATGGGTACTAAATAAGCCATAATAGTTTTAGGTATTCTAATTGGCGGAGGTATGTGGGAAGAATCCCACTGTTTCCCATCTTTTATAAGTAGGATTCTGGTTTATAGAAATATTAGCCTGCTCTTTGATAAATGTAGAAGTCTATCAAAAGTTATGTAAAAATTTAAATATGATTAAAATAAATTAGTCGTAGAGAATTCCCTGGAGGTCCAGTGATTAGGACTCTGCCCTTCCGACTGCACGGGGTGCGAGTTCAACCCCTGGTCAGAGAACTAGGATCCCACAAGCCATGCTGTGCTTCCAAAAATAGAAAATTAGTCATAGATACTTGCAATGTAACACCTACTTTCATAATCAGTTTAAATTTTTCTATAATTTATACTTCTTACTAGTAATTATAAAATTTTTTTTTGGCCTGAAGGCCAGGTTACTATACTTTCTACTTGTATGACTGGTAGTAACTTTTCAAAAGTGCTTCTTGAATAACCTTAGTGAATATATTTTTAAAATGTGATATTTTGCAGAAAGCTGTTGCTGTTACTTTAACAAAAATCTGTTCTCTCTTATTAAAAAAGAACAGATGTACGATGCCCTTTATTGACATTCTTAAGCATTTATTAATATTAGGCAACATTAGTTCCTTTAAGAATCTAAACTTATCTTTCCTTAGAAACTTTTGAAGCCCCAATTTTTTTCGTCTGCTGTCATATTGTAACTATAGAAAAACCATTTCTGGTCCCTCTACTTTGGATTCCTGCAGCACTGCTTTTGGATATTCTTTTAGGGAGAATTAACATTTAGCTATAATATAAATGAATCATTCACTTCAAAGAATGTATTAAATAACTCTTATGTGTAGACATCATGGGGAATAAAGAGATGAATGTAATATGGTTTTTGACCTTAAGAAGCTTATAACCTATTTTTAAAAAATATTTCTTCTGGGGTACACTATTCTAGTATTCCTAACTTTTCTGGGTCTGTAGATATTAATTGCTATTTGGAATTTTTTTCCCTATTTAAAAAAATTCTAAACTGTATCTCAACTTTATTCTGCTTTTTGAGAATTATAATTTAGTTCCTTGTTTAATTTGATCTTGTTATTATAGGTGACTTCATCATACATTTTATTTATGTTTAAGTTCTGTGTTTCTGTGAGTTTAAAATTGTCTTTATTTCTTTGCTTTGAACCATTGTTAGTCCGTCAGTCCCTCCCTCCCTTCCTTCCTTCCTCCCTTCCTCACTCCCTTTCTCCCCAACACCTTCTTCTCTCCCTCCCCCTTTCTTTCCTTTTTGTTTCTTTCACCTATTTCTGAATTTAAATAAAAGGGAAAAAAATACTAAAAGATGTATGTATGTACATATGTGGCTCTCCAAACTGAATCTAATTGTGGTGTCCTTATTTTACTAGCTCTCTTGCATGTTTTCTGAACCAGAACTTGGATTCATGTGTAGTAGATAGCTTTCTTTTATTTTTTATTATTTATGTGTTAATGATATATATTACACTAAGAATGATTATAAAATTTGAGAATAGTATTCTTTGATTTGCTTAGGTTTAGCACTAAAAGGAGTATAATATTTACTGAACATAATACTAACCTGACTGCCAGCCTCTCACGGCCACCCCCCCACCCACCAATTTTTTATCTCTTGTGTTTTTCTTTATTTTAAAAAAAAATTATTGAAGTATAGTTGACATACAATATTGGTTTCAGGTGTACAACATAGTGATTCAACATTTACATGCATTACAAAATGATCTCCACAATAAGTATAGTAACCATTTGTCACCATACAAAGTTATTATAATATTATTGACTATATTCCCCATGCTGTACACTATATTATATCCCCTTAACTTATTTTTTGTGTCACTGGAATTTTGTGCCTTTTAATTCCCTTCATCTATTTCATCCATTCCGCAACTCCCCTCCCCTCTGGCAGCTACCAGTTTGTTCTCTGTATCTGTGAGTCTGTTTCTGTTTTGTTTTGTTTGTTCCTTTGTTTTGGTTTTTAGATTCCACATATAAGTGAAATCATTTGGTTTTTGTCTTTCTTTGCCTGACTTATTTCACTTAGCAAAATACCCACTAGGTCCATCCATGTTGTTGCATATGGCAAGATTTCATTCTGTTTTATGGCTGAGTAATACTCCATTGTATACATAAATACATACCACATCTTCTTTACCTATCTATGGGTGGACACTTGCTATTGTAAATAATGCTGAAATGAACACAGGGGTGCATATATCTTTTCAAATTAGTATTTTTGTTTTCTTCAGATAGAAACCCAGGAGTGGAATTGCTGGATCTTCTGGTAGTTCTATTTTTATTATTTGAGCCAGCTCCATTGTGTTTTCCATTGTGGCCCTACCAATTTACATTCCCACCAACAATGTATGAGGGTTCCTTTTTTCTCCTTGCCAACACTTGTTATTTGTTGTGTTTTTGGTAATGGCCATTCTGACAGGTGTGAGGTGACATCTCACTGTGATTTTGTTTTGCATTTCCCTGATAGTGATATTGAGCATCTTTTCATGTGTCTGTTGGTCGTCTGTATGTCTTCTTTGGAAAAATGTCTATTCAAGTCCTCTGCCTATTGTTTAATCAGATTGCTTGGTTTTTTTGATATTGAGTTGTGTATGTTTTTTGGATATTTTGGATATTAACCCCTTATTCGATATATCATTTGCAAATATCTTTTCCCACTCAGTAGGTTGCCTTTGTGTTTTGTTGTTGGTTTCCTTCTCTGTGCAAAAGCTTTTTAGTTTGATTAGTCCCATTTGTTTATTCTTGCTTTTGTTTCTTTTGCCTGAGGAGATAGATCCAAAAAGACATTGCTAAGACTAATGTCAAGCGTTTATTGCCTATGTTTTCTTCTAGGGGTTTTATAGTTTCAGGTTTTGCACTTAAGACTTTAACCCATTTTGAGTTTATTTTTGTATATGGTATTTAATACTTTTGCATGTAGCTGTCCAGTTTTCCCAACACTATTTATTGAAGAGACTGTGACTGTCTTTCTCCACTTTATATTTTTGCCTCCTTTGTCATAGATTAATTGACTATAAGCATGGGCTTATTTCTGGGCTGTGTTCTGTTCCATTGATCAATGTGACTGTTTTTGTGCTAGTACAATACTATTCTGATTACTATAGCTTTGTAGTATAGTTTGAACTCTGGGAGCACAGTAACTCTGGCTTTGTTCTTCTTTGGCTATTTGAAGTCTTTTGTGGTTCCTACCAGTTTTAGGATTATTTGTTCTAGTTCTGTTAAAAACGCCCTTGGTATTTTGATAGAGATTGCACTGAATTTGTATATTGCTTCGGATACTATGGGCATTTTAACAGTATTAATTCTTTCAACCCATGATCATGGTATATCTTTCCATTTATTTGTGTCATTATCAATTTCTTTCATCAGTGTCTTATAGTTTTCAGAGTATAGGTCTTTCACCTTCTTGGTTAAATTTATTCCTAGCTATTTTATTCTTTTTGATGCAATTATAAATGGGATTGTTTTCTCTTTTTTTCCCTTTATGCTAGTTATTAGTGAATCGAAATGAAACAGATTTCTGTATATTAATTTTGTATCCTTCAACTTTCCTGAATTCATTAATGAGTTCTAAAAGTTTTCTGGTGATGTCTTTAGGGTTTTGTATATACAATATCATGTTATCTGCAAATAGTGACAGTGACTTCTTCCTTTCCAATTTGGATGCTGTTTTCTTTTTCTTTTTTATAGAGCAAGTCAGTAGAGCAACTGCTCCTAATCTCTTTATTTTTATTTATTATTATTTTTTGAACTTTATTTATTTTTTTATATAGCAGGTTCTTATTAGTCATCAATTTTATACACATCAGTGTATACAT